ATGAAACCAGGATCTTCAAAGGAAGAAGGACTAGGTGGCTCAGAAACATTGCCACCACCAGCACTTAGCATAGTGTCAGGCATGGGATACATCAGTATTCAGTGACAGTGATTCACAGAATGGATGAATTAAATGGGAAGTCCACTCCACAGTAGTTTTTAGAATGAATAAGAATTTTAGAAGGATTAAGAAGTACCTGGGGAGCTCATCAAAATGCAGAATCCTAAGCTTCACTTCTTGAGATACCTATTCAATGGGTTGGACAGGCCTGGGAATGTGCATTTTTAACAAGCACTCCTGGTCATTCTGACACAGGAACATCTGGGCATATCACACTCTGGGAAGTACTGCCTTTGCTGCCTTGTTTAGCTCCACTTGCAGAGATATTGCCAAGAAAAGAACTTTTGCCAATTGCCTTCTCTTTTGTCTTCCAGTCTCTTGAGCATAAAAAATCTGGAAGCTTATGCCTTATTGCTGGGTGAGGTGGGGCAGGGGGGAGCATTGCAGAGTGGGCAAATGGTTTAAGGGAGAAGGTACATATTGGTTACTATTTGAAATTAGAAGCAAACTCTATAGCTACCAATACCCATCTAATATTCAGTGTACAGGTACAACTAATTGATTCAGTCTTTGGCTCTGCAGACTTTGAGGGGCTCCCCTACGTAACCCAGCCACTGATCTTGGTATATTGGGGATGCACCAACTTATAAAAAACATGGACCAACCTCAGGGAACTTTTGGCTTAGTGGTGGAGACAGGCAAGTCAGTGAAGTATTGTGGACAATCAATTCCAACCAGAACAAATTGCAAGGGTAGCTTGAGAAAGGAAACCTACATGGGCTCCAAGGAGGAAGTGGCATCAGCAGCAGGCATGTTTAGCTAGAGCTTGCTCATCCAGGAAGAGGTAACAGTAAGGGACCAAAGATAGGTGGTAATTAGCAAGGACCACTCTGTAGAAAGTGTCTGCAGCAGGAAGCACAAGAGACGTGTCTGGAAGGATAAACAATAATTTCCAAGGTGCCAAGTCAACTTTGACCTATTCAGGGCTTACATCTACAAAGCCACTGATACCACCCAAGCTTTCTTTTGCCTGTACAGGGCTTGACAATTTTTAAGTTGGAACTTTTTAAGCCAAGAACATGCTTGCTTGCTGCAGTTCCTGCCATGCCTTACATTCCTCTCTCCTCATATATCACATTACCCGCCGAGAGGCATCCGCCACTTTCTGAGGGAGGGGGCCTCAATGGAGAGCTGACTCCTGGATTTTATGGCGATCCCTCTGGTGACAGGTAGTAGACAAAATACAATTGGAAACTAAAAGCACAGTCAGGAACTTCCTCAATAACCTGGTCCAAATGTTTCCATGCTTTTTGACCCTATACCTTCAATATTTGTACACTGATTTACTGAGAATGCATCTACATGACTTATGTCCCAACAAAGGTGGAAGTGGTGATTCTGCACCCAGTTTTAATGTGGGGGGTTTCCCTCACACGAGTAAGCAATGTCAGACACCAGTTGGGTGGCTTGCAATTCTAGTCGATTCTCATACTACTTTTTTTTCTCATACTACTTTTATTACCACTATTACTTTTATTTTTCTTCCACCACCCACCCCTTTGATACTTTCTCTCTCCCTCTTCACCTCAGAAACTTCACTTTGCTTATCCATGTCTGCTAGTTTATAATTATTTTGCTTTATCAGTTCATCCACTTTGACTCCTTATTTTACTCACGTATGTGAATTGTCTGATAGTTGTCTTTATCTTTCTAGCTTGCTTCACTATACATAATTCTGCCAGGCTTCTTCTAATTTGCCATAAATGGTCATATTTCATTCTTCCTTACAGCTGAATAAACAATTTCACTGTGCGATTTACCACATATTCTTTATCCAATGCTCTAGGTTGGATAAATGCTTTAGGTTGTTTCTAATGCCTTAGGTTGTTTCCAAATTCTTATTTTGTTAACCATTCAAAAGAATATTTTGCTGGAGGAAAGTATTATGATGACTGACATGTGTAGTGAGTGCAATGATATATGTTATTACAATTTCTTCTCTATTTTTTCCATCTTAACTGTAGACTGTCAAGTTGTACTGGAAACAAAGGGATGGTGATGGGGGCAAATCCTTCATGCTTAGACCCCTGCTCCACCCTCAAGCTGATATGGTCCAGCCTGTACATGACCTTGGTATGTGACCTCTGACAGACCAATAGAATGGCAGGGACCAGTGTCCATCCATATAGGAAATATTAGCAAAACAACATCTCGTCCATTGTTTGAAGCTGTAGAAGTTCTAACATGTTCTCCCCACATCCCAAAGGCTCATCTTACACAGGGCCTGGTGCACACAGGTCTCTTTTTAGAGACCTATGAGGAGATGCTAAGCCAGACACTGGCAGATTATATGGAATAAGAAAGAGTGGGGGTTCTACCAGTTTGCTGATGTAGAGAGAGTAAGAGGATCAAGATTGCTCAGAGTGTCTACTTGGGACTGCAGGCCAGTGGGGTGTCCAGTCTGACAGGCACCATTTCCTTCATGCCTTGTCCCTTCATGGGCCCCCAGACCAGGGGAAGATCAAAAGACTGCCTCTGTCCCCCACTGCATTTGAAGTCAGCTACTCTGTGCTCCATGCCACCACTGAATGGGGGCGTGAGGCTATGAGGTAAGCAGCTGACTGGGAATTCTAAGACCTGGGTTCTGGTCCATACTAGCTCTGCTGCTTGGTAAGGGTGTGTGTGCCTCTGGGCGCAGACTCTTCATCTGCAAAAAAAAAAAAAAAAAAAAAAAAGGAGAAGAAGAAGAAAGACAAATTCTGCTTGCTTCCCTGGGTGATTATGTGGCTCAAATAAGATAAGGCACAGGCATGTGAAAAGGCTCTGAAAGCTGCAAAACACTATAATGAAAATGAAGGTGTGATTATTATAGATTGGTATCCTGTAAACAGAGCGAGGCACCCAGCAAGGCACACTCACTCACTCTGGTCTTCTATTTGTTGGGACACATTCTAGGAGGGTGTGTGGCCATGTGTTGTAGGAGCTCCTGGCCAATATATCTGCAAGGTTGAACATCCTGAAATACCAATGACCTCAGGCATCAGAAGACTAGCGGTCACACCTGGAAACTAGATGACCTGAATTATATAGATAGAATGATAGCTATAGCGATAATAGATGATAACATAGATATGTAATAGAGATAGAGATGATAAGTAAAATAGTGATAGATATAGGGAGTAGATAGATAGATAGATAGATAGATAATAGATCCTTGGCTGGAGGATAGACTAGATAAATACAAGCAGAAGATACTAATATCAGGATAAAAAGAAAAATTTATTGATCATCTCGAGTGTGCCAGGTATAATAGGTAGTCTCAGATATGCTATCACACCTGCCATTGCCAAATTCTTATAGCAATGGTATGAGGAATCATCAATTCCACTTGTGAAATAAGGAAACTGAGATCCAGAGAGGTTAAGCAACTTGCCTAAAGTCCATGTTATTCCATCTAAGTCTCACTGGTGCTGAGTCTGAGAACATCCCTCCCACTCCCAGGTTCTAGTTCTCAATTGTCCTTTTTACTTTTGAGCCTTTGTTTTATGGAGAGAATATCTTAGAAATTCTGACAAAACCCTCAAACCACTTTCCATTCATAGAAAATCTGAGATCAGCTCCTCAGTCATTTATGTTCCAGCCATCTATAGGGTTCCCAGGCAAAAGTGAGATATTTCAAAAGAAATCAAAGAGCTTTCTCTTCAGGTGCCCACTCCCTACCAACTAGCCCAGAAATGTTTGTGAGACTGGCTAGGAGCCAGAGCCACACTAAAGAATTGGTTTGGGGCCATAGGCATCTATGAGGCATTGTACACGGAGGCCCATCCCCTCCTTCCTACCTTATTTTACTGTCTGCAGCTCTACTTGCTCCCTCTCCTACTTCTGTCCTGTCTCCCACCTCTAAGGCTGGCAGGTGTCTGAGCAGGGCCTTGGCCTTACAGGGGGTTGGCGTGGGGGCGGGGGGAATGCATCTTGCCCTTGTCTCAACTTTTTCCCGGACCCCTCCATCAGACTCCTGCCCTGGCTCCCAGCTCTTTCAAGGTACAAGGCCAGCCCCAGGGAACTTCTTGTGCTTCCCACGGGGATGCAACCAAGAATGAGTTTCGGGGCCACTGGCTATGGTGATGAGGTAGGATTCAAGACTCAGAGAACACCATTGAAAAACTTCTGTTTGGGCCTTCAAATGGCCATGTCTACCCCTAGGGACTGTGGGAAGTTAAAGAATCTTCTGTGTGAGGGATAGGGATGGGGGGGAAAGAGAGTCTAGAAATCTAGCCAAATTTTCCCCAGAGTCTCTCCCATCTCTTCCTCCTGACTTAGCCTGCTCAGCCTCCAGCCTGGTCAGCCTCTATCTTCCATGCTCTTGACCCCTATGTGATGCTTCCTGGTGGTATGATGGTTAGGACTCAGCCCTTTCCCCCCCCCTTCTCTCTCACTCTCTCTCTTTCTCTGGCATGAAGTCCTGGGATCTGAGTCTCCTTTCACATAGACTAAATTTTCTGTTGATCCCAAAGAAGCTCTGAATATGCACAAACCTGGAATCAGAATTTTAGAAATGATCAAGCTGTATTTTAGATGGGAAGCTGAAGACCACAGAGGTGCAGTGACTTGCCATGGTGCTAACTCCATTCCATTAGAGGAGGGTCCATCAAATTCAGAACCCAAATTCAGTCTCATCTTCCCTGCATGGTGGATGGGGCCAGTTGATATTTCATGGGTCTTTGATCTCAGGAGTTTTATCCAGCTGGGATTGGGGAACAAAGCTGAGCAATGAACTCAGAATCAATGCCCAGGCAGCCAGCAGCCAGAGTAGGAGGTGGGCAAATCCCACAGACACGCAGGAGTAGGTGAGAGCTCCACCCAGGGGAGGAGCTATAGGAGATCCTGCCCATTGTCGGCTTAGCTGGTCTGGCAGCTCTGTCTTTCTGCAGAGAGGCACTCTATCAGAGTGACTGTACTTGTATCCAAGAGGTCAGAGCTGAGGATGGGATGTATCTTGGGACCCAGAAAACTATGCCCTGTTTGAAAGTCCTACCTGAAGACCAGAAGGACCTATCCTAACACACCTTTGGCGGCTACCTGGTAAGAGAACTGTTGTTTGTCCCTCCTGTGTGTGGAGGGAGGGAGGAAGAATATTCAAATATAAGTCCTTTTGGGAAGAAAGGGGGCCTGACCTGGGTTTTTCTGAGTCCCTGCTTTGTATGGGGTCTCATTATTGTCTGAAGAACTACTGATGACTACCCCATCTTACACTGGAGGGGACAACTACAGGAACAAATAATATGACTTCAGAGCAAGTGGCAGAGCCAAGGTTAGAGCTCCTTCTGCCTGTCACTAAAACAACAGGTTTTCCTCTCTGTTTCCAACTAGGCACCCTCCCCCTTCAGGGATTTTTCTCTGGGAGGACACATGGTCAGAGTGCCTTTCTTCAACTGAACCTACTCCAAGCTCCACCCCTGCTTGCCCGCAAGTGATTCTGTCTATACCAACTGAAGTGACTGAGGACTGGGAGGGGCACAGTACCTAAGTGGGAGGGGGTTTGTGACAAATTTGGGGCTCACAGTATTTATGTGATGGAGATTCTGGAAATGGGGGTGGAAACCCATACATGTTGCAATTAATTATGCTTCTCAGAGCCAGTCCAGAAAAAGGTGCCATCAGTCACCTCAGTAATTCTGTCTTTGACCCTGTTCTTGAGGTGATGCTAGTTGAATGCGCTCAAAAGGACACTGTAGTCAACTTACACCCTGTGGCATCAAGGGTTATACTAGCTTGAGCTTTGGATTCTCATATTCATAGTGGGATCACTGAAGCCCCCAGAAGGGAGGGGAGAATGAAACGAATATTCACAGATTGTTTTTGTCCCCTTTTGTCAGATGGAAAAAACAGGGCTCTCAGAGGTCAAATGGCTGAGGTGTGTCTGAATACAAAGTTCGAGCTCTCTTCTACAAGTAGAGGGGGAATCTCAGCAGAGATCCCCTCAGAGTACAGGAAGAGTGTATAAGCTGCCCCTACTCAGGAGTTTCCATTTGCTATGTACCTACCATGTTCCCTACAGATTCCAAAGGCTTGATGGTTCCCCAGAATCTTCACATGGTAATTGCAAGCGCAACCTTCAGGACACTGCCCTCTGGTGGCTCAGCCCACCACTGCACCAAACACCACTCCCAGCATCTGGTCATAATTAGTGGTCCAAGCCTCCATCAGGCTGGTGGATACACAAATCACTTCATGGTTGGCTCCTGTGCCACATGGGATGCAGGCACCAGCTGCATCTGCCACTTAGGACATGCAGGGATGCAGCACTCTATCCCAGAAATGGGTTGAATATAGGAAGAACTGGAACCAAGTGGAATCCAGTTCAGCTTAGGGAGCTGGGGAATCCTCTTCCCAGATGCATTGCAAAGAACAGGGGCTTAGAGGACTGAGATTCAAATCATGGACACTTAATGGATATATGACCTCAAGTAAATCCCTTCATCAACCTGAGATTCGAGTCTAGAAATTAACACTGGTCAGATGGTTGTGAAAATTAAAGATTAAGCACCAAGCTTGGTGCCTAGTGGGCATTTAGAGGACTTTCTCTCCTCTTTCCTTCCATTATAAAATGACACGTGTTCAGCAACTTAGGCAGAAAGCAGAATGGGATGGGATCTCATTCCCAGGTCTAGACTGGGACAATCCTTGGAGAAGATTCAGAAACCCAGGTCCTAGACATTCTCTCTCTCTCTCACCAAGGCTGGCCATGAAAACACTAATAGGTGTCTTAGAGCTGAAGTCTAGATGGCTCCCCAATTTACTAGATCTAGGGTAATTTCTTATAAGAGAAGGGCAATTGAGAACAAAGCACATGTGTGACTCAGAGGAGAGCTCATTAAACCTTTGGAGCATTGAATGAGGCAAGGAAAACACGGGGACCATCCATGGGCAATCTTAAACCAGAGGAGAAAGGACAGAATTGGGGAAATGGACAAAAGGGGGAGGTTTGACTAAGATCAGTAATGGATTGATAATCTTGATTTTATAGCTGGCATATTTGATGAATGCGAAGGAAAGGCCTGAGGTAGAGAAATAATGGTCGATTGCAGGATTACAGAATTTACCCATGTGCAAAGATATCACTGCTGATTTTTTTAACAGACAAAAATTTGGAAATAACTAGTATCCATAAATTGGACATGTGTTATGTATGAATATTGGTGCACTGAACTTATGAAACACCTTGAGGTGTTAGAAAGAATGTCTAGGAGGTAGATCTACAGGAGCTACCCCACAATGGTGTCGCTGACGTGGTGCAGTGATGATAAGTGCTGGAGTCAGCTTGCCTGCCTTCAGCTCTGCCCCTCACTTGGGGATGTTTCTTATCCTCTCTAAGCCTCCTTTTTTTTTTTATTTGCAAAAAAAAATAAAAGAGGATAATAGTCATAACTTCTATTTAAAAAGAATATTTATGCATACAAGAACTGGGGTACAGGCCAAAGTTGTGGGGTGGTGGTGAGAGGATTCCCAGAGACAGAGTGGGGAGCAAAACAGGCAAAATGAGTGAAATACACTGCTGAGGGGAGCAGCGGGCGAGACAGGAGAGGTCTGCTGTGCCATGTGGGTTGTTCCCTGGCCAGGGATAGAACTTGTGCCGCAGCGGCTGCGGATAGCCTCGTAGGTTGCATCTTAACCACTTGCACCACCAGGGAGACCCCAATAGTGGTAACTTCTAAGAGTTGTGAGGATTTGAGTGTTTCTTCCACCATGCTAGCATGACTTAAAAATCCAATAAATGTCTGCTCTTCTTATTGTCAAGTGCAAAAAAGCAGATGACAAAAGTATACATACTACATCACTCCACTTTGCTTTTTCATTTTTTCTTCATGCAAATATACATAAGTGTACAAATATAGATGTGTATGCATGAGAAGACAACTGTTAACAGTGCTTTTCTCTGAGGTGGGAGAGGAGAGAAGAAATGGGGGAGGTACTTCCACTCTTTTATTTTAATAGACTTTATTTTTTAGAGAAATGTTAGGTTAACAGCAAAGTTCAGCCAACCCCGCCCCCCCACCCCGCCCCACTTCACTCACTTTCCTAGTATCAACATCCTCCACCAGAGGAAAATATTGGTTTAATCGATGAACCTACCTTGACACATCATTAGGACTTAACACTTTGAACTTTACATATTTGTTTTGTTCCCATTTTATAATGAGCATGTTTGTTCTATAAGTAAAATACTGTTAGCTCATTAATGGCTGATTCGTAGCCTAAGCCCCAGAATGACTGGACTCCAGAAAGTGGCCTGGTTCACAGAGGTTACCAACAAGCAGAGAGCCCGCCAACCTGGGCCTGCCTGGGAATGGGGCCTGAGTCCTACCTGAGGAACCCCTCCCTGCTGTCACCAATGTGCTGGGTCACAGACTTGCCGCTGCTCTCAGAGAGCAACCCCCAAACCCGAGGAGGCCAGGCTCCTGAGTCATGCTGCCTTGGTGTCCTCACATGTGTGTGAGGTTCTTCTACAGCAGTTGAGCACCCAGGGAGCAAGTCCCCCAGGTTGGGAATGCAGAAAGTGTCATCCTCAGCTGGCAAGGGGAGAGAGCACTAGCAGCGAGGCAGCCAGTCCTGGAGCCAAAGTCTCCTCTAACAGCCACTAGCCCCGTTACCTTTCCACCAGCTTCTGCTTCCATGTTGCAGTATACGGATAAACCTGCCCACCTCAAAAAGCCACTGTGAAGATGGAACGAGGCCTCTGGGGGAGTGCTGGATATATTCCTGGGCACAAGGCAGTTTCTCCAGAAGTGTTCATATCCTGTCTATGTGACCTGCCAACAGGTTGTGACTCCTGGGTAAATGAAACAGGGTGTATAGTTGAGAGTGGTGGTGTTTTCTGGCAAAGTTGGGACAAGGACAGGGCAAGGGCAGCTGTGGGGTTCCTCAAATACAGAACTGGTTGCATTTTTGGCGTGAGTAAACCTCTCTCTAAACAAGTCTTGGTCTTTATTTGAGTTGAGTTTAAAATGTGGTCCTCCAAAATGTAGTCAGTCCTAGATGACATGCAAGGAGCAGGAATTGTCATGGAAAGGTGTGGAGAAGCTGCTCCCCTTGCAGGCTGAGAAGAGGTGAGTTTTGAGTTTACTGCCTCTTATCCGCTCCACCTGTCTCCCCAGGTGACCCCTACTTTGGCCTCTCTCTGGGTGAACAGCTCCTCAACATGAGACACAATCTCCACTTGACCTTCATGTGTCTGAGTCTCTGCACTCAAAGGTGAGCTCTGCTACCCACAGTGGCCTTGGTCTGAAGGGCTCTGTGTGAGTGCATGTGGGGGAGGGGCTCTTCCTACTCAATGGCTGCAAGACAAGACCTAGTGCCCTCACCTCCCTGGTGCACCGGGATGAAGCCACATCCTATCATCTATTCTCTCTTGAGAACTCATTTCCGAAATGGTCAGAGATGAAAGAACCCTTTGTGATTTTTGGCAAGGTACTTGCAGGTTTTCCAAATAACCATGACATTCCGATGTGTGTAAATGGGTGAGGAAATGAATGGAGTGGGATAGGGCCAGAGTGACCTAGCAGCTGAAAGGCAGATGTCTCATTGGGAAAGTCTCCACTGGGCACATAGGCTCAACACACACACACCTGCTCCAGTGTCTCTGTCTAGGTGTTTACACACTCACAAACAAGCGTGAGCACCAAAACCTGTTTCTTGTTCCAGGATGTGCATCCTCGGGAATCAGCTCAGCATCGAGGTCAGCAGAAGTGACAAGCTTTCCCTGCCTGGTTTTGAGAATCTCACAGCAGGATATAACAAATTTCTCAGACCAAATTTTGGCGGTAGGTCTTTTTTTTCTTTTTCTATTGGCCCAGAACATCAAATCAAAAGGACAGGAGCAGAGAGAAGGTTTCAATCAACTCTGTTTTCTGATCCACAGCCTATTAAGGAGTGGCAAAAATTAATGGGTATAGGTGCCATGATTTTTCACGCCACCTTGGAAAAAGCCTTTGTCTTTCTTTTTTTTTTTTTAAACTTTTTTTGGAAAGTACTTTGGTAACTTTTTTTTTTTTAAGATTTTATTTATTTATTTATACAAGCACTGGGTACAGTCAGAAGCGCGGGAGGGTGAGAGGATTCACCAGAGCCAGAGCAGGAGCAGAACAGGCAGACTGACGATGGTGGGAGCAGCGGGCGGCAGTAGAGGCCCGCGCGCCATGTGGGACCCTCGCCCAGCGATCTAACCCGCGCTACAGAGGCCGCGGGCAGCCTCGCAGCCCAGCGCTCAACCGCTGCGCCACCGGGGAGGCCCAAGCCTTTGTCTTTCTATCTGCAGGATAAAGAAATGTAGTTGACCCTTGAACCAGTTTGAACTGCTTGTATCCACTTATAAGTGGGTTGTTTTGTTTTGTTTGCTTGTTTTTTTCCTGTATGAGGGTTTCACATTCATGAATTCAACTGATGGTGGATGACAGTTGGCATTAGTTGAATCCACACATGGAGTCTGCAGTTACAGAGGAGGGACTATAAGTGACTTCAGTATATGCAGATTTTTATAGTGGGGGTGGGGGTAACTACAAATCCCCCACAGATACCAAGGGTTGACTGTAGTTCCACCTGTACCGGGGTCAGCACCCCCAATCCCTGTGTTGTTCTAGGGTCAGTGGTATTCTAACAACTTCCAACTTCCCAGCCTTCCTCTGATTCTACTTATTATTCGAGGGAATCACCATGTTTCACCAGGGCTACTCCATCTGGTTATCCCACTTGCTCTCTTCAAGTCCAACCTCCCCATCCTGCCACCTGGATGACCCACTTGTCCTTTGCTAAGAAATCTGCCAGCGTCCCAGCATCTTCAGCATAGAGCCCAGAGACCTTTGTATGTCACACCAGGCTCATGCCAGCTCAATCCCAACACCTCCTACACTCCCCCGTGAGCTGCAAATTGACCTCCTTGGCCTCACTGGCCTCCATGCCTTTGCAGAGGCTGTTTATCTGCCAAGAATTGCCTCTCTTAACTTGATTCTGTGGCAAGATGCCAATTTTCCTTCATTTCTTAGATCAAAGTCTTCCTCCTCTGAGAAGGCTTCCCTGATTCCTCCAGTCCCATTCCTTTCTTCACACTTTGTTTAGAACATAACTCCAACTCATAGCCATTGCCTGGTAAGACTGTCTTCAAAGGGTCTTAGTCTATTTGTAAAATGTGAGATTGAATCAAGATAGAATCAAGAGAATCTAAGGTATCATTCCATAATGCAGAAAGTACTTGAAAAAGCCCTGGAGTTGATCAAACATAAGTTTGGCTCCTGGCTCTCCTGCATGGCAAGCACCTTAGCTTTCCAAGCCTCAGTTTCCCAAGCTGTAAAATGGGAACATGCCATCTGCTTTACAGAGATACAGAGTCCTCAGGCAAGTTGTCTATCCTGATAATAGGGAGCCCAGGGTTGACACAAAGGGATGTGAGGTCTAGAACCACCTGGGATGTAATGGGCCCCTCAGTCATTAAGAGGGGAAGCCCCTTGTCATATGCCTTTTGGCATGCTGCCTCTTAAAGGAACCTACATTTACATGGCAGCCTGGACGCCCATGGAGCAGGCGGCCTCTGTTCTCTGTAGTATCTTTCTACCCAGGTTCTAGGACCCTGAGGTTCTTGGAAAGCAAAACTTCAATAGAAGTTTTCAGGGACTGAGCTCCATAGAGCAAAGGTTTGCAGCAGGCTCTAGTGAACGCTGTCCAGGAACTGGCTTTGACCTCTTTCCTAGGAGAAAGCTGCCCTCTGGTGGCATAGCTTACTTTTATAACTCAAGGGTAAGAAAGAACAAGTACTAGCCCATAAAAAAGCCAACTGAGATAACACCTGGACTGGACTAACGGGAAACAAATTAACCTGACAACACACTGAGGCTGGGCCTTTGCGCGCTTTCCATTCTCCATTCTCCATGTTCCCCTGGGTTGGCAATTAACATTGACTTACTGCCCAACATGTTCCAGGCACTTCCACAGAGCCTGTCATCTTCCTAAACCAACTCTTGATGAGCACTAATAGTGCTGTTTTACAAGTGAGAAACTGTAGCACAGAGAAGGCTAGCGATTTGTACAAGGTCACACAGCTATGAAGTGACCTGCATGGGATTGAAACACCATTCTCTGACTCCAAGCTCCATGCTGCCACTTAACACCACTGTCCTTCAGCATCTTCAGGGTCTACCCTCAAAGACCTCTCCTTTTCCCACCATGCATTAACACTTAATTATTTTCAATTGCATTGACTCTAAACTGTATTTCCAAATTGCTGCTGACAGGCATGGCTTGATGTCCTTTAGTTAATAATTAGGTTGCTTTGTCTAATTCCTACTGATTAGATGTTTTGCAGGTTCCTTTGAATTCTACCTCTCCTCTTCCTGGCTAATGCATTGTCACAGCCCCCTAAAGAGCACCCATCATTTGTCACAAGTGGAAGCCACTGTCTCTATTAACTTAGTGAAGTTGCTCCTTTTCCAGAATCAGTCAGAATTAACCAAGAGGCCAGGGAAGGGCAGGGAAATGCCATTACCCGAGTGCCCATGATTATATAACAGACACAGTGCTAGGAGTTTTGTACAGACAATCCCCTTTGAGCACCTTCTGATGTTCACTGGACAGGCACCTTTTATATATTCCCTCTTCTGCCACATGCCTAGTGTCATTCAACCCCTTCCAAGACCCTGTGATGTCATTAGTATTCTCCCCTCTTGAAGATTAGACAAATGCAATACTGAAAAATTTTGTGGCTTTTCCCAGGCCAAAATTCACAACTTTCTGATTCCCAGACTCTCCTCCCACATCTCCAGTCTAAAGTAAAGGGGACTCCTAGAGCCTGGCCTGGCGTCAGAGAATGGTGACTCTGAGCCTTGGTCTCCAGAGCAGAGATTGGTGCCTACAGGGTGTTTGGCCAATCTTTGTTGTTTTTTTTTTTAATATTTATTTACTTATGCATACAAGAACTGGGGTACAGACCAGACGTGCGGTTGGAGGGGTGAGAGGATTCACCAGAGACAGAGTGGGGAGCAGAAAATGTGGACTGACTGAAATGCACTGTTGAGGGGAGCAGCAGGAGAGACAGAAGAGGTCTGCTGTGCCATGTGTGTCAGCTCTGGCTGGGGATCAATCTTGTGCTGCAGTGGCTGACAATAGCTTCATAGTGCTGAGACTTAAGACCTTACACCACCAGGGAGGCTTATCTGTGATAACTCCAGGATTGAGGCCTGCCATCTGCATGCCAAACCAAGTAAAGAAGATTCTGGAATTCTAGATAGTGTAGGATTACTGGCAAGTAAAGACAGAGGAGGAAAATATTAGAAGGTGAACAAGAGTTCAGTCATAAGCAATCTTGAATGACATATGGTGGTAAATTCACTTATTTGAGGAGGGATAAAGATATCTGTGCACGTATTCCCAAATATCTATTACATTTCTAAATAATTAGTTCCTTGCAGACACCATGGGAAGAATCCTCCAGGTAAGAAGGAGAAAATGCTACACCCTTTAAACTATGTACTAATGAATATAGTATGATCTCTGTTATATATCAAGCTAATGAGATATTTCTGCAATTTTTTTCATAAGAAAGGGAGGCATAGTCTACACCATGGTCCCTCCTGAGAGGGAGAAATAGAAATTAACCTTGTCCTTCTAGACTGTTTAAAATTTTCCAGCAGGCAAGTGTTATTTATATAACTTAATTCTAGTATTTTCTTTTGTGCAAATGTAGCATTGAGAAACCTTCAGTTTGTGTTCCTATGTAACACTTTCTGTTTTTTTCTTCATTCTTAGGAGAACCAGTTCAGGTAGCGCTGAATCTGGACATTGCAAGTATTTCTAGTATTTCAGAGAGTAACATGGTAAGTGTGGCCCCCAAGCAGTCCCTCTCCTTGTGTTGACTGGGTGATATTCCCTCTAGCTACTCAAAAACAGAACAGACTTACAGCCCCCTCCACTTGCAATGGTTGAAGTTGGAGACCTATCTTGGGACTCAAGATGGTGAAATATTCTTTTAATTTTAATTTAGGCCTCCTGAGTATAAAGGAGGAACGTATATTCAATGGACAGGTGAGGGTCGGGGGGATGAAGGAACAGAGTGGGTGCATTTTGTGGGGGACCTAGTGTGGGGAAGCCTGAACACCACATGGTCCCTCTCAGACGGGAGACACAACGATGAAATCTGACGATGACAGAACTATATCCATCCACCCTTCCACTTCAGAGAACCCACCAAAGAGGATTTGACACTAGAAGCAGTTTGCCAAGAGGGCCTGCTGTACACTCCGGGTAAATCCTGGACAACCTCAGCACTTAGCTCAGCAAAACCTTCAACAGTTTGATGGGGACAGTGGCTGAGGGGACTGTAGCTTTCTTGCCAAGTAGGTTAATACTTGAACATACTCCCTTGTGGCAGGGGAAGCCATTCTCTGGAATAAATAAGGTGTGTTGTTCTCTTATTGCTACAGGCCATCACCCCAAGACAGACTTATTCAACAATGTCTAGTATAGTGTATATTCTTGACTTCAGTGGAGCTGGGCAGGTAGTAAGATTTCACCATTTCCTTCCATATTCGGAGCCTGTGCCCCATCCATGTGCTCCTCCCACTTCCCCCTCAGGACTACACGGCCACCATATACCTCAGGCAGCGCTGGACGGACCAGCGGCTGGTGTTTGAAGGCAACAAGAGTTTCACTCTGGATGCGCGCCTTGTGGAGTTCCTCTGGGTCCCAGACACATACATCGTGGAGTCTAAAACGTCCTTCCTCCATGATGTCACTGTCGGGAACAGGCTCATCCGCCTCTTTGCTAATGGCACAGTCCTCTATGCCCTCAGGTACTGGGAACTGCACCCTGGGGGTGGAGGGGAAACAGCTGGCAGAAAAGGCAGGGACTCACCTTGGCAGTTCTGCCCAGCACTCAACCACTCTTCTCATACCCCTGCCCCTTACCCTCATCCCTGTAACATCAGGGCCTTCTTGCTCAGTTCAGTTTGGCTCAACAAGCATCTGCTGAACGCCTGCTCTGTGCCAGGCCCCATGTTGAAGGCTGGGCTACAGGGCAGATATGACATTGTATGAAATAGGCAGGAAAGCAAAAGACTAGAGTGGGGAGTAGGCTAGTAGTTTGGGACATTAGTGGATGCTTTCACAGGACTCTGAACTGAGTAAAAGGAAGCTAGCTAGGGAAGAAGTGAAGGAAACAACAGAAAGAGTAAACAAAGATGAACAGAAAGAACTTTCATGGGGCTCCATGGTGCTGGGGTAGCTGCAAAATGCAGCTCTACTTGTGTGAGTTGGTTTCGTACAGACAAAATCAAAGTGTGATGTCCCTAGGCCTCTGCTTCCTTTAGCCTCGGCTTGCCCTTTGCCTTTTCCCCAAATCCTTGAGACCAAAAGTTCCTTTCACCCAATCTGTTAGCAGCCACTGCGTGCTGGTGCAAGCTAGGGGCACCCTCGGTACTGTAGGCAGCAGCCACAGACAGGGTTCAACGGGATGTGTAAACAATAGGCTGCCAGAAGCCTTGGGGGGAAGACCAGGAACCAAATATTCACAGAACTGATCTTTAATCCCAAGTAAGAGGCTGATGTTAAAAAACCAAGACTGAGCTAACCAATAAACAATTTCAGGATTGTTCATCTGATACTTTTCAGCAGCCCTGAATTTTGCACAGACCAGTGGAAATTCCAACTCCTCTTTCAAGGAGCATCACCTCTCCCTTGATCCCACCACCAATCAGTATGAGTGGCCCCTTGCCCACGTTCCCACTGCCCCTGTGTGTGCTCACAGAATGTGTGTGTGCGTGTGTGTGTGTGTTATGGCTCCTCATCCAGTCTGTTTTGTACAATGATCACAAATGGTGACTGATGGTTAATAGCCTGGATCTAGAATGGGCACGTTCCCACTCTGTCCCTGCTCTGTGATCTTAGGCAAATTACTTGACTCTTGGAGCCTCTGTTTCCTCAGCAGCATAATAATAATAATAATAATAATAATAATAATAATAATATCTGACCTCATAAAACTGTTGTAGAAATTCAAAGAGGGTAATGCACGTGGAGCACTTGGTCCAGGGACCGCCTTGCTGTAAACCCTCAGTGAATAGTAGCTGTTGTTATTTTCTGTCTCCCTTGGGAGAATTTGAGCACCGAGGTGGGTACTGTGTCCAAATTATGTCCACTTTCCCCAAGCACCTAGCACAGTGCTTCATAAGTAAAGGTGCTTAGTAAAAATGTGTGACACTGAAGATGAAGTTCTGTGAAATGAAATCTCCAATGTGAGTGTTTAAGTGATGTTTAATTAAACATCTCTGGCTGTTGGTCTCCAAGAACCACAGCGCCTGGTATCCTCTGGCCCCCTCCACTTCCTCTGCATGGTGCTCCCCTCAGGGCAGCAGGGATCTTGTGAACTGCGAAGCCTGCAGACCTGGGTTTCTGGCCCTGCCAGTTAGAGCTGCACGTGCCTCAGAAAGCCCCTAACTTTCCAATAAAGGTAATGACAGTGATCTTTATGCCAGCTCCTCACTGGCTTGTCATGAAGATTAAATTTAACAATTGGATGCAAAAGGGTCTCACACAAGTCAACCAGTGATCTCTTCCTGTGATATTGTTACAAGCTTGCCTCTAAATTGCGGCGCTCCCACTTCCTCCACTCTGGACCCCAGCTTAGCTGAGTCTTGGAGGTTTTGGTTAGCACAAAAAAATCTTGGAATGCACTGAAGGCAGGCTCCAAATTACATGTAAACCTTAAAAGTCAAAGTCCTCTAGGTTAAAGTCCTCAAGGTTAAAGTCCCTTACAAGGGAACATACAGTTGCTACAGTATCTTCATAACACTCTTTGGACCCCATTTTTCATTTCCTAGAATCACAACAACCGTTGCATGTAACATGGACCTGTCTAAATACCCCATGGACACACAGACATGCAAGTTGCAACTGGAAAGCTGTGAGTATACATCCTAGGGTCCCTGAGATGACTTTCCCTATGTTTGTGTCTTCTTAAAAACTCTCTGATATATAGTGGCCTTTCTTTTCTTGATATCAATTAAAACGGGTTCAGCCCTTCTATTGTATACTTGGAGGGACTTAAGAGAAAACCCAAAGACAAACCTTCCAGCATTACATCTTCTGGGGAGGACCACTGTGCCTTGATACCAAATATTTTCACCTAAGGGTGGACAAGACAGCCAAAGGAATGGGGGTCAGTAGGACTAACAATAAGACCCAGAATCTCCTAAAGTCCAGAAACCAGTAGAGGTTGAACATGGCAAGTGTACCAAGCAATCACTGACATTCTTCAAACACTGCTTCCAACTTAAAAAAAGAAATGTTTGATATATGTATACACACACACACACATACACATACATATACACACATATACATACACATACATGTGTATATATAAAGTAATATTAATAAAGTAATGCCAGTAAGTAGACATCTGAGTTGGAAACTGGGGACTTTGTTATAATGGAATGGGGATTTACTCTAGGTTGATCTGTGTCAAATAAATTCCTAGCATCACTGACTAGTCTCCATTTCTCCTCAATAAACTACTCTAAAATGCCCACCAAACTTGGCAGGTGGGGGGGGGGTGGTACCTATGGTAGGCTTCCTGGGAAAATCACACCACAGATAGAAGTCAGTAAGGTTCCAAGGCATGGCTTGTGCAAGGCGTCAAAACTATAGTCAAGCCCTGGAGGCCAGTGGGCAGTTCTTACTTGAGGACACAGTGGCCAATATCCAGGAAGCATAACCATTACAAGGCAACAGTCATTTTTCAGAGGTAGACATTTAATTAAAGACTCAGACAAGCAGATTAATTACCTTATTGATTAAATGCATGCAAAACCTTCTTGAAGCAATACAGCTGTTTGGGGGCAGAATAAAACTTGAGGTTATCAAAAAGAGAACTCATTTTCAGCTCCACATGGAAAAAGTAATTGCCCTCCTTGTGTGGTTGCTGTCATCTGAAATCCCAGGAGCAAGATTCTCTTGGAAACTTCAGCACTCTGCTCACACAAACTCGGTCCCTGGTGAGCTTAAGAAGCTTTCGTTGGATGTTTATTAGCAGTTATTTGAGTACGGAAACCTTACCAAGGGTTTTTGTCTGAATACCATCCCCGGGAAAGAATTGATACCATCCCACAATTGCCCAAATCTACCCAGGGACAGAGAGGCGATAATGTAACTATTGTGAGCATTTACTAGTTGTAAAATCAACTAGTAGGGGATTGTACATTCATTTTTTTAAGGTTTTTTTTTTTTTATTTCTTAGGGATTCTACAATTTTAACTAGCTTCAGTAAATTTTGGTGTGCTTCCAAGGGAAAGTCCACAGACAGTTTTTACCTCGAAATGCTCTAAAAGCTTATGAGTACTTTCCCTGCCTATGGAGGGGGAACTAACTGCTGCTAAACAGCAGATCCCATAAGCTAGGCTTAAACAAAATGTTAATTCTGACGCTGACATCTCATTTCCCAGTAGCCTTGAAAAACAAAGGTGATAGAGTTCCATTTGATCACAAGAGCTGGAATACTGGACTTTTCCCATCACTGGCTGTGTGACTTTGGCTAAGTAACAACCTCTTGGGAGCTCAGTTTACTCCTCAGTGAAGTGGAAAAAATAATATCTGATTCTCAGGATTGTCTTTAACTGTTTTAATGAGATAATATTACATACCATAAAATTCAACCATTTTTTTATAGCACTTTTTAAAAATTTATTTTCTTACATTGTTATGAATTTTTGGACAGTTTTTGATTCCTCCCCGCTAAATTTACCTATAGTAAATGGACAATTCAAAGATTTTTAGTAAATCTGCTAAATGGTGCAGCCACCGACCGCTATCCCTGGTGAGGGCACTACTCCCAGAAATCCCTGTGCCCATTTACATTTACTCCCTGCTGCCCTATCACCCCCCCCCACCAGACAATCTAACTCACCTACTTTCTGTCTCTAAGAATTTGCCTTTACCAGATGGTTCATACAAAAGGAGTCAATGAAATAGGTGGCCTTTTATCTGCCTTCTTTCACTTAGTGTAATAACTTTATATTCATACATATTAGGGTGTAGACCAGTACATTTCTTTTTATCACTTTATTTTTTTTTTATTCCATACCAAAGAATACAGGTTCTACAAAGTCTCTTTGGCTTGCCCATTATTCACATCTTATGACTATTGCTGTTATGAACATTTGTGTACAAGTCTTTGTGTAGACATGACTTGATTTCTCTTTGGCAGATGCCTAGGAGTGGAATGCTGGGACAAATGGCAAATTTATGTCGAAGTTTTTAGGAAACTCCCTACTATTTTCCAGATGGTTGTACCATTTTACGTTCCCACTAACAATGTTCTCGTGATCTACATTCTATTTGTATTATTATATTTATTATAGTCTTTCTTATGGGTATGAAGTGCTATCGCACTGTAGTTTTGATTTGCATTTTCCCAATGACTAATGAGGCTGAGCATCTCTCCATGTGCTTACTAGTCATTCATCTATCTTCCCCAGGAGCTATTTTGAGGAGTAAATGAGATGATGATGTTGTAACACTTGGAAATGTAATTGCTTATTAAATGATAGATATCATCATCATCATTATCATCTCCATGGATTTTAGGAATTAAACTTTCCTGCAGTACAGTCCTGGCTTTGTTTCTTACTTGTCCTGTTTACCTGAGATATACAACCTCTCTGAACTTGAGAATTTTCACATATAAAATGGGCAAAATATGACAGTTCCTCAATTCTAAGCATTTGTTGAGTAATAATGGTTTAAGGAAAATATAAGCTATATGTTATATATATATGTGTGTGTGTGTGTATATTCTAAAGAGCCATCCCAATTTCAGAAAATGAAGAAAAATAGAAGAAATATAGACATATCTACCTTGCTAGTTTATGATAACATTAGAGACATAATGTGCAATGGACTTAACATGACTTTTATAAAAGGTAGCTATTATTACTATTATCAACTATATTAGTAAAACTAGACTGAGATGCCAATCTTTACAAACATCCATAAAGCAACTGGCTGCAGATTCTTCATTTTTGCACTTATGCCAACATGGAAATATGATCAGATTAACTGTAAAGTCCTTGAGAGCACTGTCAGAGCTGTTAGACTGCCCTAAAAGATGTTGTCTAACATAGTCCTTTGTGCACCTGCAAATACGTGTCAGTAACCATCACTTAAATAATGAGGGAGGCCACTTCTAGAGGCGCGTTCTCTACCAGTCTATGCAATGCTTAGCTTGGAACTAGTTGTCAATTGATGGCAAATAGCCCGAGAAGTTCACTTCATGCTGAGTAGTCACTGCAATTACACTTGAAAACGCATGACAAGTTTTGCATGAAATCATCCTTAGACTTATCACCATCAAGATAGAGCTCATGCTGTCTCCATAGCATAGCATTATCCAGACTAGTTCCATCTGCCACCTTCTTGTGCTGACCAGGCCCTGATTTATTTGCCAGGGGGCTATGATGGAAACGATGTAGAGTTCAGCTGGCTGAGAGGGAATGACTCTGTGCGTGGGCTGGAAAACCTGCGACTGGCTCAGTACACCATCCAACAGTATTTCACCTTGGTCACAAGGTCACAGCAGGAAACAGGTAACCCGGGGACAAACAGTACAAATGCAAAATAGCTGAGTTGCATTCTGAATCAGATATGGCATCTCTTCTCACCTTTACTGCTTTGGGACCTATAGACCCCTCCGTGGTGTGGTGGGGCTGTAGGGTTTGGTCTTAGCACTTTTACCTGCTCCATACCCAGTACTGAACTGGTCCCCAAGGGGCTCCCAGCCTGGTCAGGTAAATGTCAAGGAAACCAACAATTACAGTGCTCCAGAGATACTATGATAAAGGCACAAGGAGGGGAACGTGGGTGGGAGGAATTAGTACCTAGATAAATTCTACTCTATACAACAACAATTCCTTCCATTGGAACTATAACAGTTCATGATTAACCAGGTTTTTGCTGAATAACAGATAATATGATGTGGATATAGCTACTTTAAATGTTCCACAGGGAAACCACTCTGCTGTGAGCACGCATGATTTTCTATCTCATGTTTACCCTAACAGGAAATTACACTCGACTGGTCTTGCAATTTGAGCTTCGAAGGAATGTCTTATATTTCATTTTGGAAACCTATGTTCCTTCCACATTCCTGGTGGTATTATCTTGGGTTTCATTTTGGATCTCCCTTGATTCAGTTCCAGCAAGAACCTGCATTGGTAAGAAGCTCCAGCAGATTCCTACTAAGAACTGGGTAATTGGGTCCTTTTCCCCACCTTTCTTTGTTTCATTGATAGTCACAGAGCTGTTCTAAGAGATGTTTTCTTGAGAGATTCTGAGAGAGAAAGACAGAGAGAAGATGGGGGGAGAGAGGGAGAGAGGGAGGGAGGAGAGAGAGAAATATAAACAGAGAGAGTCTGGGAGCAGTACATTTTTAAACTTTTACAGTGACAGGTAAGTGAGAATTACTATTAGGTGGTCTATGCCAAATATTTTTTCCATTAAACATCTTGCTTCAATAGGAAGACAGAGAGTGTAACATTTAGGATTTTCAAAATGTGTTATGTTCCATTTCTGAGTCCTGTCCCATGTTGCCAAATCCTGAGTAGAAATAGTCTGCCATGTATTGGAGGAAGGCTTGCTGGCTGCTGCCGTGGGATTATCACCTGCCTGTTTTCCCAGGAGTAACCACCGTCTTGTCAATGACCACACTGATGATTGGATCCCGCTCTTCTTTGCCCAATACCAACTGCTTCATAAAGGCCATCGACGTGTACCTGGGGATCTGCTTTAGCTTCGTGTTTGGGGCCCTACTGGAATATGCAGTTGCCCACTACAGCTCCTTACAGCAGATGGCAGCCAAAGATAGGGTAAGGATTTTGAGGGCCCTGTATATGATTCATCACTTATGCCCAGTGCTGGCTTGTAGAGATGAACCGGAACTGGTTCCTAAGCCCCAGTGATTCAACTTTTTCCAGTGATTCAACTTTTTCCAGTGATTCTCATCCTTGTTCAGGTAGGGGGATCTGGAAGTCATGATGTCATCTGAAAAAGACTGCTCTTTTTGCCAAATACACTGATTTCTAGAAGAAAATAACTATCACCTGCCTGCAACATAAAATCACAACCAGATGAACAAGCATCCATGAAAAACCCAATATCAAAACAAGCTTGATCAGAGGCTTACAAGTTCCAGATCAATATGCATTCACTATTTAATACTTTTGTTGCATTCTTGTTTTCTTAAATGATACAAGTAATGATTTACCAGAAAGGTATGAAAAATTAAATGGTGCAAGTTTATCACTTAGAATATTTTTCTGCTAACTGGGAAAGACTGTCATTATTTTAGCGCTCTCAGAATAATAGTAATGGTTATTATCTATTGATGTTTATGTGTGCCAGACACAGTAACAAGCCCTTTGCAAGTAGTATATCGTTTAAAATGTCCATAACAACTCAGTAAGGCTATCTCCCTCTTTATGGTTGTGGAATCTGAGGTAAAGGAAAGGTAAAAGACTTATCCCAGGGGACATAGGTAGTAATGGATAGAGCTGGGATATAAACCCAAATCTGCTTGACTCCAAAGTCTGACCCTTCTCTGTAATTCCAGTTGGGGTAGACTATGCTCTTGAGTATTATTCTCCACCAGTCCGTGGAACCCTGGATTCTTTGGAAACCCAATGGGACAGATATTGGCATAATAATGACAACAAGCAGAAACTGATAGGGATCCTACACAGAAGAGGTGCCCTCCTTTATTAAAGTGCTAGCCCCATGTGGGGTCTCACAGTGAGGAAATGAGAATCAGAATAGCTCAAAGATCCAATTGCTTTCCCTTGTGCTAGATGATCATGAGCAATGCTTCCCACAGTCCAAAAGCCAAAGGCAAATGATCATATGCATCAGCAAAGAAGAATATGGATTTCATTTATTTTACTTCCTGTAGGTTTCCTTAAAGGGGCAACAGCTAACAATAACAAAATCTGGATTTGGTAGACTGGCAAAAAGGGGACTGGAAAATAACCGAGATCCTGAAGATATCAGAAAAATCTTTATTTTGCTATATATGCATGCAATAGTTCTCCTGTAGAGTACTTGTTGTGTCCTAAATATCTTATCTAGTCTACCCCCAAACCCCCCTCAAATACATAGCATTGTTATCACAACTTTACTGTTGAGGATTCTGCCACTTGAGAGATGAGGTAACTCATCTAAGACCACACACCTAGTAAATGACCTGGTCAAGTATCCAGACCCTACTCTCTCTGACTTCACTACACTTCCTACATGCTGTTTTGCCCCAGCCATGTTGGAAAATGGCTCTGGGAATGTAGGGAACATCACTGTGTTTGTGTGGCAAAGACACACAAAGACATAAAGACACTGCTGATTTCTATTATTTCTCAAAATCAGTCACTTCCTTCTTCATGGAACAGAATGGCATTCATCACAGCATCACTAAATGCTTTATATAATTTATATAATTTACTTTTCTCATCAGTTTCATGAGGTAGGCGATAATAATGTCCCATTTTGCAGACAAAAAATTGAGTCTGGATTAAGGTGGCTAATGTTTCATAATAATGATAGGCAAAATGGGATATGAACCCAAGTCAGCTGACATCAAAGCCTGAGTATTGAACAGTTAGCACACAGCTCTGCATGTCTGGAATGGGCTGTGGTTATTCTTCTTATTATTCAAGTTGATGACCTAGGAATAGTCGCCTATAAGAAGAGTAACAGAACTGCCAAGTCCTACTTACCAGCCACACAGGATTGTTGGGTGGATTAATTTCTGAGGTACTCACTATTAAACCTAATTATTTCACACTCAGACCTATCCACCTAATTTATTTTGCTGATTCAAGGCTTTCAAGTTAACTGTGTTGTCTATGAACTAGGGGACAGCAAAGGAAGTAGAAGAAGTCAATATTACTAACATCATCAACAGCTCCATCTCCAGCTTTAAACGGAAGATCAGTCTTGCCAGCATTGAAATTTCTGGTGACAATGTCGACTACAGCGGCTTGACAATGAAAACCAGTGACAAGTTCAAGTTCGTCTTCCGAGATAAGATGGGTAGGATTGTTGATTATTTCACAATTCAAAACCCCAGTAATGTTGATCGATATTCCAAACTCCTATTTCCTTTGATGTTTATGCTAACCAATGTATTTTACTGGGCATACTACATGTATTTTTGAAATTATATTGAATTGTTTTCATACCATAGGCCTTCAACAGAAGGTGGTGATAATGTAAATGGCATTGTAAGCTAAGTATACATCCTAATCTAAGCAATTAAATAATATTTGAGCATTTTTCTGCAAAAAAAAAGGATCCCTAGCCATTATTCAAGCTGTGAAGTCCTATGCAGAAGTAGCAGTTTGCAGACTCTTACAATAGAAAAATCAGCCCACTCCATTTTTATCTTTGTGAAGGACATCTCCATGGAAGCCAAGATTATAAATCTACTTACAGCTGACTATCTGCTAGGTGGCTACTTAGTCTGATTTGCTGCCTATAAAAAATGAGAAGATTATTACACATATTGAGTAACTTACAAGTGTCAAGGGTTGTTTCTAAATTAACCATACGTGCAATTAGCAATCTAAATGCCTGCTATTTAGCACAGTAACTCTCTTCAGTGTTTATCAAATATATTGCTGCCTATTTAAGGAGTAACATTTTCTAAATGAAATGTGGGCCTAAGACAATTTAGCAGAAGTCACAGCACTAACTCAATACTAAAATAAGTTTTTAATACAATATTTAATAATACAGAATTGTCCCCAAATTCCAATAACTCATCTCATGGAAAAATCAAATGTAAGTGAAGAAAAATTGAATGGATCAATAATCTCAAACATAAATCCCTTGTTTCTAAGACATAATGGATTCTCCAAACAAGAATGCTGGGTCTTGAGTCTGTCATTTGACATGTCTTATCATCTAGTTATTATGTACATACCAGTTCTAAATAAGGCTAGAGCCCTTTCCCCATATCAGGGATGGAAATAGAAGAATTTTTCTTTTTACTTATTGTAATAGTCTTAATAAGAACTGTTGTCAACAAGACTTGCAGAATTGAATCTTCTCTACTCTTTCTGAACTGCATCCTTCCCAGAGGAGCCCTTATCCCTGTGCTCCAGTGACCAGGACTGATGCTTATTAGGCAGTGAGCTGAATTTCCCAGGAACAAGTGATTTAGCACATGTAAGCTTGGCTTACTCAGAGTCTGATCATTCTGCTGGACTACTCTGAGTGGCTTATCCTACATGTGCAGGGGAATGATGGCCCTGAGTCCTGAACTTGCTTAGTAACAGTGGACCTTGTTACAGAACCTACGTTCAGGCTACAGGTGAGTGGTCTTTTCCAGGTTCAGCCACTCTCACCCTGACATCAGAAGCACGAGTGTGCATCTCTTCCAAGATGCCAGCCAACACCACAAAAGTGGCAATTTGCAAGTGTGCCATGATCAAAGTTCAGTCCCATTTTGAAGAATTTTGCCAACTTTATTTCTTTAGCTCTCTTTTCTAATAAATGTACACTGTCACCCTTCTTTTTAGAAATAAAGCATGACTATAGATCCTCTCTCTTCTGTAACCCCTGTGTCTTGGAGCCTCATTCTTTTTACCATTGCCATTCTTCTCACGTGGGTTTTGATCACCTGAGCTTAAAAAAATGTTTTGAATGGGAATGGGTTATTAAAAGAGGTAGAATGGTTGTATGACTCAGTCATGTGTGTGGTTTTTTACAACTCTCAAGGATACACATTTATTCTGCTTTCTGCAGCTAACCTTCCCGTCCTTTATTTATTCAGCATTGAGATCTCATCTTTCTAAACTGTTCACCAAAATCCAATCTCCCCTTGCCATATTAATCCTTTCTGTTCTTGAGGGGAGGTGATTTGTCTGTTTCTATTCATGGATTGCTGTCTTCTTCTGGCCTAGCTCTAAGCATCTTAGCTAAATATTTGTAAGGTATTGAAAGGATAAAGGGACTCATGCCAGAGGCTTGGGGAATGACAGACAGGATGTACTCAATTGTATGCAGAAGGAACTGTATGCAGTTACTAATGACCCATTTGGTGGCTTCACCTTCATATTGGCTCAGCCTGCAGCAGCTGCCCAGAGGCAACTGGACCTCCAAACCAGACCTGAGCTGGCCTGCCATTTGGCTGCCCCAAACTGTGCTGGGCTAAAGAGTTCTACAAAAAAGTGATCTTGGCATTCTGAAGCATATTAATAATCAATTTAGGCTCTGGGGTGCAGACGTTAGCAAGGGAACAATCTGGAGTCAACCAGAAGAAGATGCATTCTGACTCCTCTGGAGTGGCCAGCACCCAGAAGAGAGTTCTTTAATGGAGGAGAGTGGCAGGCAGAGAAACACGATTGCTTCCTGATCATGGTGAGTTTGAGGGTGGTGGCTGCAGCTTCTATTCTTGAGACCAACTGACCGATTCTTCTCTGCACGCTTCTTGGATGTGTGAGTGTTATAGTGGTTTTTTTTTTTTTTTTTTTTTTTTTTTTTACTTTTTTGTAGAGAATTTAGGTATATATGGGACTAGTATATTGGAGTTGAAAAGCATTGAGGGCAATTTTGATCATGACACCTTTAAAAAAGATGTAGAGAAAAGGGAAAAGAACCAATATAAAAATGGCAGAAGTGATAATATTATAGAAAACAGGTTTGATAAGAAGGCCATTGTGCACCTTGAAAAACAAGGCTGAATAATAATGACTGTCATTGTTGGGAACTTGCTGTTCCACTATTCATCTGAATAAGTGAACTGAATAAGTAAATAGATATGAACAAACTTAAAAGAAAGTAATTGTTAGAAGGAAGAAAATGTGCAAGCTGAATAATGAAATGCTCAGATGAATTTCTATTCTCCATCTGGAAATTTCCCATGAGAATAAACAATCTTCTCTCCCCTTTGATTTTGCCACCCACATGAAAGGAGAAGGCCCTATTCTGCCAGGTAATCTTGGGAGGGTATAGATGTCGGGAGATGCTTCTAGTGGCTTCTTTGATTGTCCACTCAATTGCATATGATTTGCCTTTCCCAAATTAGAGAAGAAACAATTTTGTTGGAGAACTAGAAAGGGCTAGCACAGTATCAAAAATGAGTGAGTAGCTGTATGCTGACCCAATGTCTCTGTGACCTGTCAGGACACCTGCATCTATATGCCAGTTACCCCCTTTTTTCTTTTTCTTTTTTTTTTCCTAAAGTTTTATCCATTTATGCATACAAGAGCTGGGGTACAGGTCAGAGATGTGGGGTTGAGAGGATTCGCCAGAGACAGAGTAGGGAACAGAACAGGCAGATTGACTGAAATGCACTGCTGATGGGAGCAGCAGGTGAGTCAGGAGAGGTCTGCTGCACCATGTGGGTTGCTCCCTGGCTGGCTGGAATTGAACTCACGCTGCAGAGGCTGCGGATTGCTTCATAATGTGGTGCTTAACCCCTTGCACCACCAGGGAGGCCCCATCTCCTTTTTTCTTAAGCACAGTCCAGAGTAGAGGGTTAACCGGTCTTGAGTCAGGTGACAATCCTACAGTCATGGCTTGTTTCCCATTCAAGTTAGGCTATGAATTTTATTAAAATCCTTAAGGAGTAGAATTTCACACTTTATCACCTGAATCTCCACTTCATTTAGAAATTTCTCCTCCTACCAATACAAAAATTTTTTACCTACACTGTGTGGAAAAGAGCTAATGTACTGAGATTGCTATCATTAAAAAGGTGGTTGGCATCTGGGAATTTGGATGGGAGGGGAGTTCCTGTTATTACCTAAATCGTAAGGTTTGTGTTGAACACCTGCATCTCTTGTGGGAGTCTGGAGTTTGGTTTGTCCTGAGCAGAGAGTGCCTATGTGACTAGCCTCCAGGAAAAACCTTGGACTCTGAGTCTATCATGAGCTTCCTGAGAGACAACATTCTACACAAGTTGTCTAAAGTAAGTGCTTCTTGGGTGACTACATAGGAAAAAAGACTCTTGGAAGCCGGTGGTTGGTTTTCTCTGAACTTCACCCCATGTGCTTTTTCCCTGAGCTTTGTATCCTTTTGCTGTAATGCTGTGAGTTCAATTGCATGCTGAGACCTCCCAGACAATCACCAAGCCCATGGTAGAGGGTGGGTCTTGTGGATTCCCAACATACATGCTTTATAACTGGTCCCAAACTTGGTCGAGCACAAGATTTACCAGTAGAGTATTGTAGATGAAAGATTCCAGAGTACATACTTAGGTACAAAATATCAAGATCTATATTTTTCAAAGTTTTCCAGCTGTTTTTGATGTGAAGTCAGATGGGAAGCAGATGCCAAATGCTTTGGTGAAAAAGACAACAGCTGTATAGCAGCCATATTTTCAGGGGAAAAAAATTATATATTGTTTCTGCCACCTGGAAGGAAAAGAGTCCAACTCAATATGATTATTGACTATGAATAATATATACAGTAGAGAAAAGGCAAAATTCATCCTTTGTCTCATTGAATCTTCTGTGCAGTGTCAAGAAGGAACAGGACAGCTTCTATTTCTGGTGTGGCTGCAACATGACAAAGTGCCCATGGATAAATGTGTAGTTGAAGAGCAAGGCAGGTGTGTGGAGATGGAGAGATTTTTCATTTCAACACCCATTTTTTTGAGGTACTCCATTTTCACATTCATACAAAGAACTAAAAACAAAAGCAAAAATGCTGAACTGCAGGTAGCCAAAGACTTTGACTTCTGTGACAGGTAAGAGGGGAGTTTGGCTTGAAAAAGGCATCCTGGTGGTTCTCAAGGAGGTCAGTTAAGGTTTCATTAAGATCTCAGGGTGACAAAGGAATCGGCTGCCACTGCAAATTATGAGGTCATCAAAGTTGTGACGAACAAGGCCATCTCAAATGAAGCTCCTCTTTCTTAGGGTGTCCTCAGTCTGAACTGCCAGCTTACTCTGCATCCACACCAAAGGTGGGTTTAACCAGAATTTGCAGGTTTAGCCAGGATCTGAATAACACCATGCTTATTATATTATTGATCAGGACACCTATTTCATTTCCAAGTTTTTGAAGCAGTCTTGAAGCTGACTTTCAGATTGAATACTTTTATGGACATATTTAACAAACAAAATATGTGGATATGTCCTCAGAACAGACAAAAAAATGTGGCATGACTGATGAATAAACAGCTGATCTCTGTGAGAGATTTCTTTACAGGGGAAGTATATAAATATGTCCCAGATGGATTTGCTTTTCAATAACAAGTTATTGAACCAATTCACCAAAATATATCTTGAAGAATCAAAAAGCCCTCATTCATAAATCAAATGGTGTCTATGGAAGAAAACAAAGGAAAAGGAGGGGGATGACAGTGGAAAGTGATAACCACAAATATCAACAATAAAAGTTAGACTCAGATGCCATGGCATTTAAAGCAACAAACCTTAGAATGTAATAATAAAGTGAATTTTCAGAATGTAAAGAAGTCTCAGGAGAAATTATCCATTTAAAAGAATATGAGATATATCTTTTCTGGGTTTGTATATTTCCTAAATCCTAACAAAACATTCTAATTCATCTCGCAGAGGGATTCAGAGGCAAATTCTCAACAAGGGAAATAGAACTTTGTTTTATCTACTCCTATAGTAATGTAACATAACTTATCCAGTTATTTTCTTCCACAAAGAATCCAGTTGCTTACACTTTCACATGTACACCAACAGACTAATCCAGTTTAATGTAATGCAGGAACCCAGGAATGAGTCCAGGGACCTGGGCTCTGCTATTGACTTAATCTCTATTTGCTTAAGTTTACTACTGTGTCAACTGGCACACACAAAAAATTTCCCTTTCCATCACACAGGTTTGTGATAGGGATAAAAATGATTTTATAAATGTGAATGTATTTTGGAAAGGTGCAATAGCAGCAGGCCTCAATTTATTTGCTACATGATTATGCATGTAGAACATATCCCTAGAAAATCAGAATTGTGATATAGCTGGGAAAGTCTAACCAGCTTATATGACATGAGTGTCAGGCATTACAAGATGCTTCTGGGATCAAGCACGGGACACATCAGGACCAGAAGCCATGGACTCCTAAACCCAGTGTTCCTTAGCTTTTGCCATTACTTCCCTGAATGATTCTGTGGACACAGCTTCATGTTCTGCCTGTGCAGAAGCAGCACTGCAAGATCACAGCATTTATGCTATAACAAAAGGCCACAATCCCACCAAAATTTAATGGGCCTCATCTATGGCCTGTGATCTCTCTCATTCTGCCAGGACTATTCTACCCCAAGAAATTCAAGGCAGAAGTACAGCTGTAATCTTTACTAGCAAATCAGACCCATTCTCCACCAGAAAAGACTTTTGAAAATCATTTTTTAACTACAGGACTCAGATTTTTAGCCCTCCCTCATACAAGCCCCAGCAGAGGAGATCACAAAAGCTAGTATTCTGCCCACAAAATATTTTTCTAACCTGACTGGCTGCTCTTGGAATGCAGTTAGCAAGAAAAATCCTATTTCATTTCTGCAGAGGTGGAAGATCACAGATCATGAATCCTCTCAACACTACACAGGTGAATTGTTTTCAAATGCATTTGTATGTATAAGCAGTGCCTTCCATTGCAA